CCTTTGGTGCCAGCCAGCCAGTGAGAGGTCCCGGTCCTGGGGTCCTCCCCTGCACAGGGAGTGCGGTGCAGGTGCCAGGAGTGCCCTCTGACTTGGTGCAAGCGACTGCGGAGGTGCATCGGCAAGAGGTGGTGCCGGCGGTAGAGGAGGACTGTGCTCTGAATCGGCCTACCGGGCCTGCCCCTCCTCTGTCCTTGGTAGGTCAGGACACAGCTCAGACTCTGCATACCAGGAGGGCACTGCAGAGGTGGCCAGTGTGGGTAGCAGCAGCTGGCTTGTACTGTGCAAAAACTCTCAGCAGCTGAGGACCAGCAGTGGCCCACGGGAGCTCTGCTCGGCACCGCCTTTCCCTTCAGGCCAGGGGCGCTGTTCCACGCTGTGCTGTGCCATCTCGGTTCCAAGGCCTTGTTATCGACCACCCTGCAGAAGAGCAGCCACTGCACGCTGCAGCCCGGAAGGACCACACCCTCAATCCCTCAGCCAGAGAAGCCAACATGGACCTCCGCTGTGCAGAGAAAGGTGGGCTAGCCAAGCAAAGAGCTGGAAGACGCCTGCAGCCAATGCCAGGGGTAAGCGCTCCTCACTGCCTGAGGCTGCTCATCTCTTCCCATGTATCTACTGCACACAAACACACACTATAAAGAATACACATTGAAGAGCCTTTGACAGCCCCATTACGCTGAGTGCCCAGCCCTGGTTTCACCTTCCCTTCCCCATTCTGACCTTTAGGACAGAAAGCCTTATGCAGCAGTGTTTCCTTTCACATTGACCCTTCACTGGGTGCCACATATGTCCCCAGGCTGCTCAGTTACCACCGGTGTCCTCTGCCAACCATTGTAGCTTCAGGGGCAGGAAGCCCCAGCCACACAGCCCATGCCAGGCTTGGCACCTCGGAAGCACACACATCACCGGGTTCAACCTCCAAACTCCCTCTCGTGCGAACATCGATCTGTCTTCACTCACAGCCTGACACTCAGCAAGGTCAGCAAAGGCCCCACCTCATCCTAGACAAGTGGAAGAGCCGGAATTTGGACCCACCACAGCGGGTGGGCATTCTTGGGCCGTGCTGCGGGCTCCGAGAAGCCCACCCAATGTCTCATCTCAATGGAGCCACTGCCCGTTCCCTGTGCCCAGGGGGCCTCCGCTCTGGGCAGAGAGTCCCTGCCTGAGCAGATGGCCCAGCACCCACAGGGCTGTGGGCAGAGTGGGTATAGCGCCCATGCTGTGCTCCTCCTAGGACGTCCTGAGCGCTAGTTCCTGTGAAACATTCTCCTAGCAGAATGTCAGCCTCCTGGCAGCTCTTCCAAATCCACCTCCCTCCCCTCTGTTGCTGTTTCTCCTCCCAGCTGTTTTCCTCAGCTCGCACCCGTGTCTCTTGCCTGGCAGAATAATGCTTTCCTCTTGCTCCAGCTCTCCACTGCCAGCAGACGTGGGCATCCTGCATGCAGGAGTCCTGAGGTCCCTTCCTCAGCCTCGGTGCTGGGAGAGAGGCACCTGCTTCCTGACGAAGGGGGGCTTTCCCCTCTGTCCCCTTCCCTGGCAGCTCCTCCCTTAGGTAGCAGCCACCTGGGAAGGGAGGAGCACCAGTACCTTACAGGCACCTAGACACGAGGGAGCAAGCTCCCTTCTGCTGGCACCTCCCCCTGCTGGGCTTGCTCCCCTCTGTCCTCTAACCCTCAGGGACCCAGGCAGGGATACATAACGAGTATACCATGTCCCTGGTGGGCAGAACCCGGGTGGGGTTAGACGGCTTGCTGTGCAGGAGCGGTCCCAAGTGCCATGGGGCAGGAGAACCCTAGAGCCTGGGGATGGCTCTGGGGGCTGACATTCGAGTGTTGAGACCTCAGTGAGCTGTGTAACCGGCCTCTGCTCTGTGCTCCTGTCTGTGAAACAGGCACACAGTCCTGCCTCGATGACAGAGGAGAAAAGGCTTTGACTGCTGTGGGCCATGAGAGGGCAGCAGGTAGGAACCTGCGCTTCCCGAGTGGTTACACTAGGACAGGGGCATGCAGCAGCCTCCTGAGACACAGGGGCGTGGGCTGTCGCCCGAACCTGCTGTCTGCTGCCCTCCCCTCTCTGCTTCCTGGGGCATGGAGCAGCTGGAGCAGGGGCAGCAGAGGAGCCAGCCCTGCAGTGGCCATGCTGTGTCATCTGCAGAGGCAGGAAGCCCAGAGCACAGACACAAACAGCAACTTAACACAAACACCGGCCAACCGCTGGGAATTTTCCAAAGCTTCCCTCAAAAGCGTCTCCTTGGCCCATCCAGGGATGGATGGGGAAGGCCAGCGTGGCCAGGCAGCTCAGGTACCCTGAGGGGAGACCAGAGAGACAGCAGGGGATGCCCCAGGCCTGGCTCAAATGCGCAGGCCTTCTTTAAGGGCCTCATATGTCCTTGTCCGGGTCCATGAAGCAGCTATCTGTGTGCAAACTGGGCCCTGCACAAGGAAGGCAGAAGCCCAGAGTCAAGCTGTCCTGGAGATGCTCTCCCAGGAGCCCGGGCCTGGCACCTGGCACACCGAGGTGGGGGAGCACCCATCCTCGGGACGATGGCACGGGAGGCCCCGATTCCGGCCCACCACAATCCGTAGTGTGGCCTTTCTGAGCACTCGTTCTGGGGCAGAGACACACCCGGGCTATGTAAACATAGGTGTCCTGGCTGAGGAATGCCCTGGGTGCTGGGCTGGCAGGGCTTGAGACGGGTAGAAGGAACCCAGGAGGAGGGAAGCCCATAACTTTCAGAACAGTGTTAGTCAGATCGGAAGACTCGGATTTCACTGGGTGAAGTAGGAACCCCCTGCAGGTCTTGGTGGGACAGGGTGGTAGTGTTTTCTGACTCAGGTTTGAAAGGGGTAATCCTGGCTACTGTTTAGAAGACTGAATCCAATGTGGTTCTAGGAAAAGCCGATTTAGTTAACCAGTCCTTGTAAGTGGGGCCTAAGAGAAAGCCTGTGAGAAGGGACCCCCAGCTCTCCGCAACGTGGTCTCTGCCAGCCAATACTTGCCTGGTACAGAGCAGGTCTCTAGGTGGGCTCCTCTGGTAGGACCCAGAAGCTCACAGCTGGCCACAGCCATTGGCAGAAGGCAGCCTCTGCAGATGCAGGGTGATCTGGAGCCTTGGGCCAGGAGAGGTTATGACCAGGCAGAACCACCGTCCTCACCTCAGGCCAGGCATAAAGCCTTCAGAAGCTTGTGGGACAGCAGTGGTGCTGGAAATGGTAAATAGCAGATTTCCAGGGGGAGAAAACACAGTGGCTCTCAGAGCTGTGCAGGCAAGGTGGGCAGGAGGTTGCTGTCCCCACCCTCTGCTGAACAGAGGCAGCCCTTATGCCCCGTCCTCCTGGGTCAAGAGGCCTTGTGAATGCTCTAGCCCGGGCAGCCTTTCGTGAACCTTGGAGATAAAGAAATGTGCAACCCTGTGACATATTCCCAACCTTATTTTATTTTATTTTTTATTTTGAGACAGGTTCTCTGCAAGTCATTAAGTTGCCCAGGCTGAGCTCAGGCTTATAATCCCCCTGCTTCAGCCTCCTAGAGTGGTGACATGACAAGGCGCCACCTAGCTAAATGCGACACAGCCATACTAAATACAACCCATGACTGTCTGGAATCCGAATTAAATTTAACTGGATATTTATGTTTCTATTTTCCCATCTCTCACATATAGCAAAATGTGTCCCACTTTGTCATTTATTAAGTCTGTTTACAGTGTCTTTTCCATAAGGAAGACATTTTTTGGCTTTATACAGTCATATCGACCAGGCATTTCCTTCACGGTTTCACGACATACTTAGAAAAACTTTCAGAATCCCAGGTTTAGGACAATCATCCACCTATACATTCATCTAATTTACATTTTAGAGCCAGTATTGACTCTATGTGGAGTTCATTTCGCTTTGAGGAACTACATAGAGAATCGGCTTCCCGCTCCGGCCCAGGATCTTTGGCTGTCCGGATGTCGCTGACTGAGAGCCCATGGAGGCATTCAGCTCGCAGCCCGGCCGCCGCAGCTCCTCTCTCTGGTGCGGTCCACCCGCTGCCATCACCCCTGGCTGGGCACCAATGTCTCATTCCTGTGTGAGGGAGCAGTGCGGTGTGACAGGCTCACGCTCTCGCTCTTGGGAGAGCAGGTGTGTGGGGGGCTGCAGGACCCCTTTCCTCCCAGTGGCCTGAGGCACAACGCACACCCCCGCCTCCCGCCTCCCGCCCATGGAGGAGGCAGCAACAGCACTAGCCAGCCGCCTCCAGGGCTGCAGTGATGAATGAGCCCATCCCTGCATGAAAAGAACCCGTTAAGGGGTAAGCGCTGCACCAGTGTTGCATTTGATTTGCTCACGCGTGCATGCATTCCCTCGCGGGCGGTCCACGCAGCCTGCTGCCCTTACCCTCCTCCTCTCTGTGCTTCTTATCTACTGTTCTCTTTTTTCTTCCAAATGACACCTAGAATCAAGTCGACTTAAAAAGAAAACCTTAGTTGGAATTCAGGGGAGGCCACAATGAGCGAGCGTACCGGTAGGCTACAAGGTTTGCACCTTGTCCAGGGAGAGGGCTCGGCGTCTGGTGGCCTCAAGGCGGCCGGGTGCAGTGGAGAAGTTTTCCGGACGCATTCGGATCCCTGGCCTGTGAGTGAGTGAGGAGGGGACTCCCCTCCCTCTCTGACTGGCTGCGAGTGCACAGGCAGCGTCGCCTCGCGTTTGTCTAGGACCCGCCAGGTCCCTGGGAAGCCCCCTCCTTCCTCCTTGCAGCTGCGCCACGGCGTCTGCCGCCAACAGTCACGGTCTGCTCCCCAGGTGAAAAGTACACGTTTCTCCAGACACACGGCCTTCGCGGGCCGCGCCCGCCTCCCTCCGCGCGCGGCAGCCTTCGCCCCTCGGTCGCCCCCTCCGGGCGGGGGCGCTCGCCTGGCCCCCGCCTGCGGAAGGAGGGAGGGCGCGTCCCGGCCCCCGCCCGCGCCCTGCGCGCCCAAGTTTCCCGGCTTCCGCTTGAACCGCGTCCAGCTGCTCGCCCTTAAGATGCCCGGGCCGCGGCTCGTGACTCAGCCTCGGGGCCTGCCCGCGCCCCGAACCCCGAACCCGGGACCCGGACCTGGACCCGAACCCCGGCCCAAGTCCCGGCGGGGAAGCGCCGCAGCGGACACGAGGGCCGCTCGCTCGGACCGGCCTGGCCAGGTAAAGGCGGCGGGGGACCGCGGGCACCGAGCACCCGGGCGGCACAGCCTCTCCCCGGCACCGGCACGGGCACCGGCACCGGCACCGGACGCAGCCTCCTTCCGGGGCGCAGCTGCCGAGAGCGGCGAGGGCGCCGCGCTCCCGTGCCGCAGGAGCAGCAGCTGCCAGGAGGGCGGGCGGCGCGGGGGACCGCCGGGGCCCCCCCGGGGACGGTGCCGGGCCCCTTCTGTCCGCTCCAAGGGCCGGGTCGGCTCCGCGGGCTCCGCGGGCCAGGGTAGAACCGCTCGGCACCGGGCGGTTCTGGGTCCTCGGTGACTCCCTGACCCCCCGGGGGGTTGAGACCGGCGCGCTGCGGAGTTAAAGTTAGAAATCCACTCCCCAGCAAGCGTGGAGCCCAGCCCAGCCCCGCAGTCAGTGAAGGTCACCGCTGATGGAACTTCTGGGCAAAGTTCTGCAGGCGGCAGCCCTTCTAAAGAAATGGCAAGTCTGGGGATTTGGTTCTGTTCTGCTGCAAAAGGCCTAATCCAAGCTTTCAAATATTTTTGAAAATAATTCCAGGAATATCCTGGGATTATGTTAGGGAGCTGAACTCGATGAACGGCTGGCTTTCTTGGCTTGGGAAAGTTTGAGGACAGGAACTGTCCAGAGCCCACGGTGTTGCGCCCTCTCCCAGGTGTGCGCGATGGTTCCAGGGCTCCGTGGGAGGTGGCTCTGGACCCAGAAGACCAAGCTCCGCCAGCCGGGACGCTGCCTCCCAAAAAGGTTCTGCACCAGCTGGTGGGCTCTCTGGTCCCCTGGGCTCCGCTGCGGCTCCCTGCCTCACCCGAGGACTGGGACTTCCACTAGCCACGGAGGCAGTGTGACTCTGCATCACGTGTGGGTCCAGCGAGCTAGGGGTCCCGAGCTCTGGGGCCCCCAGCCCTGCGTCCCTGGTCCTCCTTAAGCACTTCTTGAGCAGCGCGGTAGTGACTGGATCTGTGGTCTTTGGGAACCTGTAGAATGGGCTCAGGGCATCCAAGAGTCAAATATGCCCGGCTGGAGAGCTAATCCACAGACTGGATTTTGATTAAGGCTTGTGTGGGGCTCAGCATAAGGGAAGGGCATGTAGCACCTTACCCCCCTGAGGAAACCTTTGGGAAACAAATGGTGTTACGCTTCCCCAAACAGAAAGCGTAAGCAAGCTGTTCTCTATTCTGTGTGATCTTGGCCTCGTGCACGCTTGTTCCAAAGGATTAGTTTTCCAAGCGCTTTTCCCCAGAATACTGTTGGTTCTTTGGGGAAGAAACATAAGTAATGAATGCAGATGGTAAAATGTGTCTCAGAATTCAAGTCAGTATGGACGTGATAGCAAGTCTCTGGCTGTTGAATGGTTGAAATATAGATCTAAAATAAACAAGGTTAGGCAGAAAAAAGTTTAAAAAAATAATGTATGTAAACCTTAAGTAACCTGAAGGAGAATAATTCCAGTAGAAGCCCAGCGGCTGCCTGTGCGTGGTGCTCGATGAGCCGTCTGGGTCCTTACAGGGTTAGTCAGGGAGGCAGCCGTTCGCATCACATTGCTTGCTGGCTAATCTCTTTTAAACAAATATTTACAGTCAAGCGCAGGCTTCAAATCTGCAGCCCTGTGCTTCCTCAAGTGTAGTGCTGCTGACCTTCAGTGCTGCTATATTCCCAAGATTTAAATAGGAAATGAGGTGACATCGAGGCGAATGTCTAAATTACCCTGCCTGTCCATAGTGCGGGGGACCAAGGTGGCAGGGCTCCAGGTCTCTGAGGGCCGTGCTTCTCCTGAGTTCAGATGCCGAAGACCATTATGCCTCTGGATTTGGGCACTTAGGGCTCCGGAATTGGTCCATGCCTGTGAGTTTTTAGGTAGCTGAAGTTTGTTTTATGAAAAGTGTTGACATTTTCCAGACATTTGGGCTGTCCTGGAAGGAAGTGTTTCTGAAGTGCATTTACCTTTTCCTTCCGAGTTGGCCGTGGGAGCTCTTGTGCTTGCTGAAGGTTCGGGGTTGGCACATGGAAGTCATTTATCCTGTGTGCACAGGGCAGGGGGCCAGGGTCTGCGCCAAGTAGATGGGGCTCAGTCTGGGCTCTGCCCCCGACCAGAGCAAGTCCTCTGAGAGTTTCAGTGCTCTTTTGTAAAGCCCAGGGTAACCAATACCAAGTCACTTCCATTTATGAAGCACTTACTGTACACTCAGCATTTTATATATGCTATCTAATTTTCACAGTGACCACTGTATCCTTATTTTCCTGATGGGGAAACTGATGATCCGAGAAATTACTTGGGGGACTCAGGTTAGTGAGGGGAGAGCCGGTGTTCCAAGCTGGACACCTGGGTTTGAAGCTTAGGGTCTTCTCGTCTTTGCTGTGTCTACTGCACAAGGCTGGCCAAAGGAAAACACTTCGATGTAGTTGGCATTCAAAAACAGAAAGACAGCAGGAAGGAAGGAGGAAAAGAAGGAAGAAAAGGAGGGAGGGAGGGAGG